TTTGCCGTTGACCAAAACTTCAAAATGTTTACAGATGCTCTTACTGCTTCTAGTGAGGAAGAAAGGCTCCATTGAGTCATGCAAGTGGGAAGCTCTTCCTGACAATCTGCTGTTAAGAGTGTCCAGGTATTCAGGGTGGCAGCTCCACAACTGTTGACCCTCTGAATATCAACCATTAAACATGGAGTAGAAGTGTTTGGAAGTTATGTTAATCTTGTCATTTCCCCAACTGTCGTGAAACAAAATTATATAAACAGTAGTATTTTATCTGTTCGCATTGCTTTTGGTCACAGCAGCAGAATGAAAGCATTTATGACCATAAAGAACTTTTGCCAGTTCATATGCTTTTTGCCTCAAACAATTCCCTCTCTAAAAGAAAAAAAAAAAAAACAAAACCAAACAAAACCTGAATAGTTTAGAAACAGTTAATACATCTAAACCAAACTTGTGTTCCTACAGTGAACTCCCAGAACCAGTAAAAAGGCAAAATCTGACCACCTGATATGTCTTTTGGAGCTCTTCAGTGTTGATGACTTACTGGGACCACTTCTTTTTAAAAAGAAGAGTACCTAAATCTGGCTATGCTATACAAACATCTAGGCCTGTTACTTTCTCTTTTACAAGAGTGCTTCACAAATCAGAAGGGAAATCAGGTGAATTAAATAAACGTTCAAAGAATAAAGATTATTATAGAACATACTTATTTGCTGCTTTTTCATTACACTTCGGGTATACATGCAAATATTTGCTTTGTTGCTCTAATTTGAGAAAACTTATATGTATCTAATTTAAAACAAAAACCAAATCAACCACAACAATGAAGTTGCTGTATGAAATAAATATAATGTCAGGACTTAAAAAATTTCAATTTTTATCCTGGTTGCCTAAAATGATGCCTAAACTATCAGTCAATCTCTAATAGTCTTCAAAATCACCGAACAGTCCCGTCTGGACCACAGAGAGCATTTTTGCCCTGCCAGACTCTTAAAGGCAGCATGTGTGGTAGCTAATGGTCAGTAGTAACCTGCTTGTCAAACCGCTGGCACTCAGTGTCAAGCTCTAGCCTGGCCCTAACACTTGTGCCCTGCCCAGGTGACTGGCCAGGCTGGGGGCTTGGGCTGGGAGGGCAGGAGGCCAGACGACATGGGTAAAGCAGGGATAGAGGAGCATAGTTTACACCTTTCCCAGTGTATGGAAAGCAGGAGGATCTGAAGGCATCACCATTCAGAGATAAGACACAGTTAAGGAAAAGCCGGTTTCTTCACTAGATTTTTGATGGAGTTGCTTGCTTCCACATGCAGCCGCTATGACATTGCATCTGCTTCTGTCTTGTGGAGAAAGCACAATGCAAAATTCTCCCAGAGCCTAATGCTAATAAATACGTGTCAGATTTGGTTTTTTTGCTAGATGATTTATCATGCTACAACCAGAAGCTGTCAATCATCTACAATGTTGAGTGACTGCTTGCTTCTCTCCTGTGCATACACATTCTGGAACAAACATGTCTCTTCCTTTGTGCTAGTTATCCGCTTTTAAGTGCTCAACATAAACAGCTTTGGTAAGATTTTTATTCAGAAAAGTCCTTAACGTTAGCATTAGTTCCTATCTTGTGGTCCAAGTTGCTGTGTCTTTGGGGCATAATACATAGACAATTTTTGTAAAAAGTCAAGAATGTCGGCAGGCACAGGGGCTTTGGACTGTAGTTGGATGAATGTTATTATTTTTCTCCTTTTTTTCTTGAGACAATTCAAGGTTTTTTTCCACTTGTTGACTGAGTCCTATCACTAATATTCTCCTTTCGGTAGAAGGAATTGATTATTACAATACAGAAGATAGCGCTAGTCATGTAGCTCCTATGTATTTCTTCTTTTACTCACTTTTGTCTTTTTAATTAGAATCTCTGTCCACAGTTGCCAAACCTGATTGAAATCTGATGGTTTTATGCAAATTATTTCATTAATAGTTTTGTCATGCTACAAGCTACTTTTAAAATTTTAGCCTTTAAAGTCCTTGTAAACATATGGCTGACGAAAGAACAAATACTGGGCAGCCTTATTTTATTTATACAGCACCATCAGTGCACACACTAACCCCTTTGCAAGCCCTCAGCTTCTGCTCTGAATTGACAATGTGCATTAAGAAACAAGAGGTATTCCAAGGCACATGGACATTACAATCTTGGTCTCTTTCAGTAGCATTTAGAGCATGATGGTGGACTTACAAAGTTAAAATTGGTTTCAGTTTCCTTCCTCTTACCTGGTCTCTCTAATGAACCCCCGTCTCATTATCTAGTAAAAAGCCTTAATAATCTAAGTGGACTTGGGACAAACTGCAAAAAAAAATGCAGTTTTGTATCAAAGAGTTCTTGATCTTTTCTTCATAGCATGTCTGGACATCCCTCCTTATGCTAAGTGTTTTGCAATGTGGCTTATTTCATGGAACTTTAGGCTTTGAAAATCAAATTCCCGCTTCTTGGAGCTGACTCAGGCTAGGTGTTCCCATCTTCAGCAAAATCTCTTACATGTTTTCATGTGTCCAGCCAAATAATTAACATGGGGTATTTTTAATAAAGTAGTATTCATAAAGTAAAATATAAAGAAAAACAATAAAAACCATTTTGAATGCAATGCTTCTGTTTTGAATAATTTCAGTAATTACAACAGCTTCAGGCTATGAAAAGCAGTAAGAAAGATACAAATTTAGTAACTGAACTTATACCAAACATCTGACATTAGCAGAATGCTAAGGGTAATAAGTCGAAAACTCAAATGTTAGGATCACCTAACTTCCTACTTCTGCTTAACAAGGACCATTGAACGGTTTGGGTTGAAATGGACCTTGAAGATCATCTAGTTCCAACCTTCCTGCCACAGACAGGGATGCCTTCCACTTGACCAGGCTGCTCAAAGCCCTGTCCAGTCTGGCATGTAACACTGCCAGGGATGTGGCAGCCACAACTTCCCTGGGCAACTCCTTATACCCAGAACTGAGAGAGTCACAATACAGGCTGATTTATGCATACTTGAATGAAAAAAAATCTCTTTAAGAGTTTCTGGAAAACAGCTGTGCACTTTTAAATGGGCTGCCTGCAATAAACAGATGTTCTACTCTTTGTCAGCAAAGTTCACAGTCATTTGGGGAATGCTGGGATCCCTTTGGTTTGTTTAAGCATCACTCTGGAACAGAGCACTACATGAAGGCAGAAGGTTTGACTGCAGAGAGTTCAGCCCAACACAGATTTTGCACAGGTTTTTGGCACTGCTTACAGATGACTTTTGAAACCCATTTAAAAAAGCAGACACCTGTGTACCATAAGGGCAGGATTTGGGGCAGGGATCAGATACAAAAGGGAGAATCAACAACAGCATGATGGGAGACCAATATCCTCTGTCCCCAGTTCACAGACCAACTGTAAATGACATTTGGTAGGGAAAACTCCCTCACCTACGTCTGACCACTTATGTTTGACCATGAACAGACAGGCAGAACAGAGATGCTAAATACATAAGTGCCAACAGAGATGCATAAAAACTGCAGGGCTGTGGGCTTGCTTCCTCTCAAGTACAGGATGATATAGGTACCTCCTGACTGTCCTACTGCTCTAGTCTCACATGAGTTGGACTAATGATGGGACAGAAGATCAGATTGTGAGGTGCGTGTTTTAGTATCTAAGTAAAATCAGCAAAATAAATAAATTCAGTTTTTTTTTGTTTTGTGTTAGGTTTTTTTTTTTTGTTTGGTTTTTCTTTTTCTTTCCCCTCGTGATAAACAGTCATTAGTTTTATCTTTTTTCTTTGCCTAGCACTACTTCTATAGCCACTTTCTAGTTGTTAGGCATTTTGATCTTTAACAATTCCAGACTGAAAAGGCTGGTTGTAAATAACACCCTCCATTTTCTTTTTTTTTCAGGCAACTCTATGAGCAGCTAAGGAAAATAACACTTGAACTGGACTTGTTATTTTTATTGCTGCTATTAAATGATCTGATCCAATAGGGAATGTATGGCTGGGAAAATGGATCTATGATCTCTTCATCTTGATAAGCTCCTGACTGTCTTATTTCCTACATAAATGCTCTTGACAAGTACTGCTAGCTTATTGTGTTCACTGTGAGCTGTAGAAAGTGAAGTGGCAGAGGGTGAGCAACATCTTGGTCACATAAATATGCTGTCTGCGCTTAACTAAAGACGTAAGTGAACCCTCATTAAAGACAGTTGGTCAGACTTTATAGGAAAATCCTTTTCCGATTAGTCTTTATCTCTTCTGTGCTTTTCAGTTTAATTTACATGCATTTTTTTAGTGGATTTAAGATACGCTCAAAGCAAACCAAGAATGTTCACACAGGGGTTTGCTCTAATTTAGCTAAATTACTTTGTAAAAAGGACTTAAGGGTTGGCCTACTTGGAGAATTTACTATAAAACTCTTGTGCATGGGCGACTGCACTGTCACTTCTCACATCCTGCACCTCACTGCCTGGCGCTTACTGCCTGCTTGGTGTGCTTTCATGGGGTAACTTGATTTAGGGCTCCTAATGCTAGATCAGTGTCACAGGAACGTTACCCAAGTATGAGAACTACACACCTGGTTAAGATTTCTTCTAAAAACTGTGATGGACTAATTCTAGAAAGGCCAAGTACCCTCTCTGGCCACATTTCCCCCAAAAGGCCAGCACAAGAGCCTGAAGACTAGATGAGCTCTTTATCCTGTGCTTCAGACCATTTGGCAGTAGTAAGATTATAAGATCATATATTTATATATGTACCCTTTATCGAAATTCCACTCGTACTTCTGGGTGATGTAGTAATACGGGAATCCAGTATTAATGACCATGGACCTGAGACAGAGAGGAACAACTAACTGATTGCTAACATACACCCTGGCTTAGTTTGAGGAGGTATCTTGGAGCTAACAACCAAATAATTAAAACTTAAACTGGTCTATATAAGAAAGTTGTTCAAGGGAGCAGAATATATTACCCAAAGTAGAGGAAAAAAAGCAAATATTTTTATTATGTTTTAATTTAAAAATCTGCAAACCTAGATTCAAATGTAACAAGGCTCATGTCTTAGGTTTGTGACTTTTCATCATTTCAGTCCAAATGCTGACCTACTTAAGAGACCACAGTTATCAATATTTCCTAATGCTTCTGCTTCTCAAACTTTATGACTGGTTTTCTCCAAGGCATTCTTTGTTCTTACTCCTATCTTCCTCTTCATTTTGAATGTATCAGTTCAGGAAGTAGCTGAAAGATAGAAAAACATACACACAAAAATTGTTTGACTGCAGGTATTAATTGTAAAATATTCTTCTTTTTTTCCTGCAGGAGATATGAAGGTGAATCAGGAAATGGATGGCTTTTTCACATCACATGAATCAGTACCCAGGAATTCATCATTTTCACCAAATGCCTGACTACTTTTAGGGACTTCAAAGTTAGATAGCCCTTATTGAAGGTTCATATAACAACTTTAACTGCCTTATCTGTCACAGTCTTCAATGAAAAGAAAGAGGCTGTTGCTAAAAATCAGCTCACACATTTGTAAATGCAAGTGAACAGTTATTTATATTATATAATTGTGTTGAAAATATCACCTTAGCATTCATAAAAATAATCATAGAAATGCCATGATAAATACTACTTTATTCTCTCTTTAAATTACAAATCGTAAATTTAAACTCATCAGAATATCTAGCTCTTGAAAGCCAAGTAATTTAGACTCTCATCTTGCTTTTCCTAATTCACAGATATTACAGATACTAGTCAGTGTAACCTTTAAACACAACACATAATGTAAGACAATAATTTGACAGAAAACAGCAGTGAGTTTGTAATGCTGGCATTTATTTCCCTGTGATTTAAAGCACGTCTTGCAATGGTGCCTTTTGCTAAGACAATTAAAATTTTGCTCAGTCTGACCTATGGTGCTACACACTACCGGGGGTACACAGCAACAGCCTTGCATGCCCTACTAAAAAAGACATGTATGCTTCCCTACTGGAACCACCTGTGGATGGCAAACTTAAATCCTCTGGGTCATGTGCTTTCCTGGGATGAAGACGTCACTTCTATTTTTACATATAGTAACATCAGAAGTCCCTGACATTTAAATATGGCAGGCTCGTGATGATCGAAGCTTGGAATGTAGACAGGAATGCTGAGGACCTGCTCAACTCAAATGCAACAGAGCAAATACTTTCCCGTATCTCAAAAGGAAAGAAGGAAAAAACAGTGTAGACCTGAGAAATAGGTCTCTCAGCAAGGTCACATAAGCAAGGTGGATTTAAGACACCAGACTGCACAAACTCTCTGTTCTTTAGCATTGGTTCAGGAAAGCGAGCTTGTTCATATGCACCATGCTACTGGCTGTTCTGCTCTGGAAAGTTTCTGGTCACCAGGGGAATTTCTCCTGAGTAATAGACGATGTGGTTGAAAAAACAAAAGCAGGTAACTGTGAGATTTCAAAGTTTTTCTGTGCATGTTTATCATGAATTAAACAAAAATAACTGATGTTTTCAATGGAGTGGAAAAAAGCAACATGCAATGGCAATAAAGCCTTTGAACTCTGTCATTGTGAAGTGAGTGAAGCCTACAACAGAAGCATAGCTCAAGGTCCAGTTTTACTGAAGCTAACTCCTCCCTCCCTCATTTTTTCCCCCTTTCTTTTTCCATTTATCCTAACTTAAACTTTGGACTTACAGTATTTGGCCTTGTTTTTCTAAATTATGAAGGAAACATAATACCCAAGGTGCTTTTGATAGGTAATGTGAAGACAGGCCTTCCCTTACACCATGGCTTTCCCACCTAAACAGATGGAAATCCACCCCCTCCCTGCTTTCTAACATTGCTTATATCCTGCCACCACAGGGAGGAGCTGAAATCTGGCTTCCCACCAAACTGGCCAAAAGCCTGAAGGTGCTGTGCAGCCTTCCCTCTTCCAACTGCAGTACCTTACTGCTTTCACGTGGCTGCCATCCCTTCACATGCTAGGCTTTACTGTGTTGGAAGGAGGAATCACAAATTAGTAACACTAAGAAATATGACAGGAGAATACAGGGCAGAGGAAGAGGAGATCTCCCTTGGAAGGAAAGCTTGATGGAATTTAGACTTGGTCCTCTGAAGCTTTTTTTTCCTTCCCCCTATCTGATAGCAGAGCTTCTCCTCTTGCTTTCTCACCTACTCTCAGCATAATACTCCTAGATTATGTTAGCCCCTAGTTGTAAGAGTACACTTGGGCATTGTGTTGCCTACAATTGCTTGTCTTACTCACTCAGCTTACCTGATTTAACTTTGCACAAAAACATAGTGCAGAGTAACATGCAACATTAAATAACATTACATTTTGTAGCTTTATTTCAAACATGGTTAATCTCATGGCCAGCTTAACATATCTTTGCCATCTTTTTGCTTCTTAAAATCAAATAAAATGAAATAGAATTAAGCATTGACATCATTGCTGTTTTTCCGTGAGACACAAAGCGCATGACTTAAAATCTCTGGGGATAATATAGAGAAAATGTAATTCCAGTGGAATTTTTCTTTGGGTGTACATAATTTATCCAGTACCATATACAACTATAAATGTGCAGGTTTGGAGAGGTTTTTTTTTATTTGGTGTTTTTTTTTTTATTCTTTTTTTTTTTTATTTTTTATACATATATGCCCATTGTTTCATAGCCAAACTGCAGGGGAATTTTTGGGGGCTATAATGCCCATCACACCAGGTACTAAAATTTTGATGTTCTGTCACTGTTGGTAACAAAAGTTGGTATGTTTGGTTGTCGGTTTGTCTCCCCCCCCCACCTCCAGCAACTGGAAAAACAAGTATATCTCCTCTTTAAAATAAAGTCTAAAGTTATTTTCAGAGGTGGAGATATGTTAGAAACATGAGACCTGCTGATGTGAACAGATACGTCTCAAAACCACACCAAGCAAGTTCATGGAGTGTATATGGGGATTGTCCCATACCTGCATTTAGTTTGATGGTACTTTTTAGGCGTAAAGTTCTTTTATTTTCTATACAAGTATTTTCTGGAGTGAGCAAATTGAACAGGAAAGTGATCCTACATAAATATACTTTGCATCAGTGTCTTATAAAGTGGTGTTGTTACAAATATGGAAACATCCTTGACTGTCAGGGTTACATGACTGTAATGGAAAAAAGTTTGGCCTTCAGTATTTGCTTTCATGGTTTGGTTGGGGTTTTTGGTGGGATTTTTTTCCTCTTTTTAAATACTAACAAGCAATCAGAATGCTCCAAATTCCAAAGCTTCATTTTTAATAATAGTTTCAAACTTTCATTAATGTTTCTCCTTGAACAAATTTCTTTTATAACACAGCCAAAGAAACATTCTCCCTTGAGCTGGATGTTTCAGGCAATTTGGATTACCAACATTTTGGCTTGCAGATAAGTTTTGATTCTAGTTGTTTTAATTAAGTGTATTTTTATAGGATCACTCTAGCATGGATCCGTTCCACGTTTTTGTTTGTTTTAATAAACTCTCGGTGCTTTTAGTCTGCGTGGAGGTCTTGCTGCAAACAACACGAGTCAGTTTCTGCTGCGGTTTGTAGTAGAAACGTGCAAATGCTGCCATAAAAGAAGCTTTGATGGAACTCAACACACGTACGCGCACAGATAACCTCCTGGTTTGCTACAGATGGCTTGGCTAAACACAAAAGCATGCGTCGAAAATAGGGTGAGCGCGGAAACGCGAACGTACGTACCTGAGGAAGGTGCCGGCGCCTCCCCCCCCTCCCGCCCCGGGGCGCCACGTCTCGCTGCCCGGGACCGCCGCATCGCGGGGAACTCGCCCGGGGCCCGAACATGAACTTTCGGGGCTGACACGTCGATCCTGTGCCGGGGAGGGCGGGGAGGGGAGGGCAGGGGGCGGAGAGGGACACGCCGCAGGCTTCTAAGCGGTAGCAAAAATGCCAGCGCTGCACAGCAGGGGGCCTGGGCGCTCCCTCTCGGGGAGGCACTGGAACCAGGACTGGGCCGTCGGTGCGCGGCTCCAGGCTGGTCCCGGGGGCCCAGAACACTGGGGTTTGCCTCGTCGGCTCCCGGCGCGGGAAGGGGGCACGGTGTGCGGGGAGGATCGCGTGTGGGGGAGCCGGCAGCGCAGCTCGGCACGGCCGGACTCTCCTGAGGTATTCCCGTGCCTCTCCTACCCCGGGGCAGCCCCTGCAGCCGCCGGCGCCCAGCTCTCCCTCGTCTCCTCTGCCTGCTGCGTCTCATCCCGCGGGGGGCCCTGCGTACCCCAGCACCAGTACCCCAGCTCTGGCTCTCGCCCGCTGCTTTCCCACTGTTTCCCCCTGTTTCCTTCCTCCCTCCCGCTGTCGCTGCTGCAGCTCGGCAGGATTTGTTGTGCTCAGTTGTGCTGGCGCTGGGGCGCCGCTGCTCAGATCTGATCGGGAGGAGAAGCCTCAGGTCGTGATTTTTGTGACGCGGGAAGGGAAAAAAACACAACCAACAAACAAAAACCCCCAAGCAAACAAACCCCAAAATAATAAAATAAAAAAAAAAAACCCGAAACACAAATATCTGAACCACTGGCAACTTCTTTGCTGGCCCGGAGGGGGGAGCGCAGGGGAGGGAAGGGAGTAATGCGAGCTCATCACCCCAGCCCGCGGAGCGGCTGCGGGCAGCGCGACGACTGGACCCGACTCGCACACCCCCGGGAGCGGGCGGCCGCCCCGGCTGCCGCTGCCCCGCCTCCGCGGCTGGGCGCTGGGTCCGGCCGAGGCGCGCAGCTGCCGCGCCGCAAACTTGGTGGGAGAGAGCGGGGCGCGGGCGGCTCGGCGGGGCTGCGGCCATGGCGGCGTGAGGCGGCGGCACCGCGCCGGGAGCGGGGCATCACCGCGCCCGGCGGCCCTACGGTGCCTGCAGGTAAGCCCCGTCCTCCGTGGTCCCTCTCCCCCCGCGCGGTGCTCATGCTCGGGGCGGTGCTCGGAGAGCGGCGCTGAGGGGGGGGGGGGGGGGGATGATGGCGTGTTCCCGGCCGTCTTCTCCCACTTCGGGGCCGCCTCCCGTGGGCTCCGCGGGGCTGCGCCGGGGTAAGCCGGTGGGGGGAGAGGGAGCTGGTTGGGGTCGCGGCCGCCGGAGCGGCAGGGTGCCGGCAGGGGGAGCTGGGGGCGAGGCGAAGCGGTGCCGGGGAGCGCTGCGGGTGGTGGGAGTCTGCTTCGGGCATTGCCGCCCCGCCCCCGAGAGCCCACCGAGCTTTTCAGAACGGGCGGTCGTTCTCCCCGAAGACGGTGCTGTTTGCTCGGGAGAAGAAGCAGCAGTGTCTCTAGCGGGGTTCAAAGCCGAACTGTTCCAGTTGCCCTGTTCCCCCGGCGCCCCTGCCCCGGGGTCGCAACCGCGGGAGGGTTTTCTCGCCCAGGAGCGTGAGGTGCGTTGAGTTCGCTGAGCACCGGGTGCGGGGAGGGGCAGCCGGTGGCTCCGAGGGGTTTTGTGACACTTCGGCAAGTGAAGTTTGGTCTGCCTCGTCTTGCGGTGAGAGCAGAAGACGAACGGCGTGAAGGGCACCGCAGTTGCCTGAGAAACGTGGGGGTTTCGGTGGGATATTCTTGCAGTACCATCCAAAGTCCTAATGTACTTTTATTGTGGCAGTTACTTATCTGGACTGGCTTCGGTCTGTGGTGTGACCGTATTTTGGCATTTTCTGAATTGAGGAGTTTGAGTTACCATTCCACAGCAACGCAGAAGGAAACACCTGGGTCTGTTGTATTAATCCATCTTTTTGTGAGGATTGCTTACCAGGTAAATGACAGCTGTTAGGGTTTGTTGTGTCATTGCAGATGCTATATATGCACATTAGATTGACACAACGATAACCTGCTCGGGATTATGCCGGGGGGGGGGCAACAGGTATGGAGGGTCAGTGCATCCCTTCAGCAGACTGGGCTGTTGGCAGAAGTCTGTGCACACACATGCACCGTCGTGAATGGCTAGAATTTGTGAGATTACAGTGGAAAAAAAAAAAAACAACCTAAAAACTGTTGTTAAAGTTGCAGTAATAGTGGGCTTCAGCAGCCCTAAGGTAGCGTTTCAAGACCCTGTTTTTGGATAGCTGACAGGCTGCTCTTGGTCTGAACTTTTTTGTGTGGAAAGCTGGTGTGATGCTAGCCCATCTAGTAAAAATGGATATTTTCATAATGAAAACTGCACTCAGATCTTGGTTCCAGCGGTTTCAGCGTCTTCTGGTTGTTAGGTGAGTAAGACTGATTCAGTTTAGCAAAGTTTGACTTACCAAGAATTGTTGAACTTGGTGATGTCATTATACAGAATGCATAGTCAATCAAAAGTGTATTGCTACCTTGAAAGGCTGAGGTATGGCCTGGGGTATGTTGCTTAGTCTAGTCATTTAGATTTCGGTAGACTTCTGTATTTTGTGCTGTGTTCCCATCTTCCTCTCCAGCAGGTACTGATAATATGACTTTATGACATTTACTAATGATTTCATCGCATTTTCTCATTTTAATGCTGAACAGCTGTGAGGAGTCCTGTTGAGAGCTGAGATTTTGCTCTGGAGGGGGGCAGTTTACTTTTCTGTTCAAGAGGTTGTTTTGAACTAAGTAGCATAAACACTTGCTTTTAAGTTGTACTGCGTACTCCTTGGGATGTTGTAACAGTTTTGTTTTGGTTGAGGAAGCTGTAGGCATTAATAGCTGTAGTGTCTCATTTCTTTTAATCTTTAACCAATGCTGATTTCTTAAAATACTTAGAGGTAGTAGGAGTGCTTGTGCACTTTGTAATGATCCGTAAACTTTGGTTATATCGGGTTTGCTGTACTCATTTCCTGTTGGGCAGGGATGCAAAGGGTGGTAACTAGGTATTGCTGCTGTTTTCAGGAGAAAGTTGTGTGGGTTTCTTTTTTTATTTTCCCCCAGCTACTTAGGGAAACCACGTGGCTTCTAACTTCTGTTGATGTAGTCTTGAACAAATACAGGATTTTCATTGAGTGAAGCTCATTACTTTTCAGTGAGTAAAATGTATGTTACAAGCCATGAACTGCAGAAATGCCACATAAGCCTCCTGTGAACTTCAGTTTCTGTGCTAGAAGTTGTGTGGAGGAATTCAGCCAAGGGAGCAGCTGAACTCCTGGGATGAGTGGAAGCAGCCCGTTTGCTGCAGTCTGATTTGCAAGGGCTCCCTGTGTGAGCTGGGTGTTATGTCTATACTGTAGGACATGTAAGTGGATAGTGATAGTACTATCAGCTGGTAGTAGGTGTGTACCACCACTACTATCAGTTGATGGTAGTACACACCTACTGGTACTGTCGGGCGATAATGGGGAGGAGACTGTGTGTTATCCAATACTGTATTATTTAATGTAGAGCAGTATCTAGAAATGAGTTAATATGTTGTGATGATTGACTTCTGAATAGCAGTGACCTGTGATTTAGCTTTACATTTAACATCTGGTTTATAAAATTTTGATATGATCTGGATGTTTGGTAATTGTTCTAAAGTTGCTACAGCTCCTAAGATGGATTGGTACTGCTGCTCCTGTAATTATAGGAAGCAGCACGGAGGAGCTTTGAATTTTCTATAGCATCATTTTATGGAGATGTTCTTGTCAGTGCTGAGTTCTCCAGATTACTGTTAATCAGCCTGTTTCTCTTCATTATCATCCTTTTATGCTCTTTGACATGTGTATACAATCCTATTCAGAAACAGTTTTAATTTACAGACTAGACATTTGCTCTTTATTAATGCATTTCATGAAGCTGTAACTGTTTCAAAAGAAGGTGTGGGCTGATTTTTGTTAAACACTAGAACCGTTTTTCAAACTGACCCTTTTGAGGTGTATTTGTCAACCGTACGCGCTAGGTTTGCTTTACTTTACAGGCTGCAGCGTTGCTGCGGTGCGCTGTGAAAGACAGGTGGCAGTCTGCTCTCTGCTATTCCTGCAGGAGCCTGGGGAGCCTTCACAGCTTTGGTGAGCGGCTGAGGAACAGTGTGCTGTTAGATCTGTTGCTGTTAGAACAGCAAACTGCTTCCAAACAAACGTTGGGGCTTTTGTTTCAGGTTTCCTTCCTAAATACGCGCGATTATGTTGGAACTAGATGATCTTAAGGTCCTTTCAGCCCTAACCGTTCTGTGATTCTGTGAAATTTGCCAGGTTGCATCTAAGTATAGCACATATGCTTAACATTTGTCAGGAAGGTAGCAAATGTAAACCAAGTTAATGTCTAATTAACGTCCTGTTATTGATTTTTTTTTTTTTTTTTTTCTAGAATGTATATTCCAAAGCATGTAAATCTTTTGTCAGTTAGTGGGTTTGTCCATGCATCTGTTCTCAAACGTGTGTCTTCCCTGAGGTACTTGGACTCAATCCATTTGTCTGCTGTATAAATCAACTCTTTATCTGCATACTCATTATTTTTTTGTGGAAATATATTAATAAAATGAATCTCTATCTGGGGGCCTTCTGGGGAAGAAATTTCTACTTGTGTCCCAAGTATATATTAGAAAGTTAGGCAGCTTCATGGAGGAGCTGATGTTTGTCAGTGTTAGTAGCAGAAAGCTGGGATTGATGTAAATAAAGTCTGCACTGAGGCCTCTGCAGGTGAAATTCTTGAGTTTAAATCAACTGTTAAAATTCAGCAGAAAAGGTTATCTTTTATTTTCAAACAGTTTGAAAGTTTGGCTTTAGAAGAAATTTAAATGCTGTGTGATGTGTCAGCTGCACTATAATTTATGAACTTCTTCCTAATTAGCTTATATATGTTCTGAAATTTCTTGTGTGATAGCAAGGTAATAGAGATTTTCATTTTCCAATTTTTAAATCAGGTTGTATCCCTGAGCTCCAGTATACCTTAGAATTGTTGGATCTTAATTTCTGACAACAGAAACAGACTTGGCACTATTTGGTGTAGAAGCTTACAGAAAGAACTTTCAGAATGCTGAAATGTAGCCTGCTGCTGTCCTCTCTAATACTGGGTTGCTTTTTCAAGCTTTACTAAATACATGTGAGAAATGACTTGGAGCTTATATGATGGCTGCAGGATTGGCTTATAATGTCAACTGGATAGCCTGAAGATGTGGGCTATGCTGCAAATTGTGACATTTTTCCATCTTCTTTTCCCCACCACTTCTCTGAATTTTAGAATTGAGCTGCTTTCTCTGCTGCTGCCTTCCTTCTCTGAATTGCTAGTCTAGGTGGAAATTCAGAATGCTTTCTGGTTAGACTTGAGTTTTAAGGATGCTTAATATAAAGTTTACTCTAAGGCTCTCTTGTAGCTAGAGAGACAGTACCTTAATAATTTTCAGCCTCGTTCTTCTGACCCACAGCAGGATTGTTGATGAATCATTTATTTCTACTGCAGTTGAACTCTATAGACAAAGGTATGCAGAATGAGGATGAATATTGGTGTTGTGGTTTTAATAGCGTTTAGACAGTTGTCCTGCATTGTGTTTCTCTGGCATACTGTCACTACAGAA